CCAAATTCCCAAGCACCCAAATTCTAAAATCCCCAAATTCCCAAGCATCAAAATTTCAAATTCCCCAAATTCCCAAGCTTCCAAATTTCAAATTCCCAAAATTCCAAATTCTCAAAATTCCACATTCTCAAAATTGCAAATTCTCAAAATTCCACATTCTCAAATTTCCAAATTCCCCAAATTCCAAATTCTCAAAATTCCATTCCAAATTCCCAAAATCCCCAAATCCCCCAATCTCCAAATTTTAAAATCCCTAAATCTTTAACCCCCCCAAATTCCCCAAATCCAAAAACCCTCCACGAAACCCAAACTCCGCAAAGAATTAGCATCTCCGAAGGATGCCAGTAACCGCAGTGTTAAAGCGCAAAAATGGTGCCAAGGTTATCCCGACGAAACGTAGAGAGCCGTCGCGACGATTCGTTCGATCGTTTCTCGGCCAGGTGCATCGTTTCTTTACCTTCGATCCGGAATCCATCGGTCGGAAAGCAAAGAAGAAACGTACGTTTACTCGATATCCTTTACACGAGTGATTCGAGGTAACTGGGACGACACATGGAATCGATACGTCAGTCGTTGTCCAGTTTCGATTCGGTATTCCGATCAATAACGACGATAGGTCGCGATGCTTATGTTCCTTTAACACGTTCTAAACCCATGCTATCTGATGATGTATGGAATGCCACGAGATCATGTGAAATTGCCACTGCTATGCTCGGATTTCGTAAACGGGGTCGAGTATTATTGAAATGCATTAGAAATTGTTTTAAAGCCACGGCGGAACACTCCTGGCGAATGCTGCGAACCCACCGGTCAACAAATTCTATGATAAATAGTTTCATAGAGATATTTTGCGCGATACTTTTGGTATAATTAATTATACTTCGAGTTGCAAGTATAGATAATTGTACTTCTATGTTACAATATCTGCAGTCAATGATGTCGTAAAACCGGTGCTTTTCGATTCCACCATTTTATTTTAGGACTCGTACATTTTACCGTCGGGTTAAATGCTTGAGGTGATTCGGTGACATGAACATACCATAAAACGTTTTTACCACTTGCAGCATATCAGTTTAAAGCTCAGTTTGTAAAAAGTGATTGCAGAAGTCTTTTATTTTGGTACAAACTTACTGTCGAACTGACTTGTGTCTTAAAAGTGATCCTTGCTTTCTACAATCGCCAGTTAGCCATCTTGTTTTAAGACTCTCAGCGAAAGATCTATTTGATTATTTCCATATATCAGTAAAATTTAAGGTTACGCACCGTTATCATTTCAAAGTGAATCATAATAAATCTCCCAGAATTTATAAATAAATATACTGCAACATCGTAATAAATGAAAAAGAAAATTGCTTCGTCAACCTTCAAGACACAGTATCTTTGCATCGAAACATGCAGGAAAAACAAAAGCATTCTTCCGCATTTTGCCCATCTCCGTCGAGAACCATCAAGAATTTATCGAACATAAAATCCCGCGACCGCGAAATGATCGCGAAATTGTTGCGATATTTTCTTTGCAAACACAGCATCCAGTGGTAGTAAATCTCTGTTAGCCGATCGGGTATCAAAGGGGAAGGCAGTTTGTTGCTTAGCAAGGCTCGCGAGATGGTGGCTCGACGGATCGGTTCTAAATATTTGTGGAGCGAGCTTTCGCATTAACGGCGAGGAAACATACCGAGAAAACGGTTTCCAGTGGTTGCTTGTGGTCATTAGAAGAAGAAAGACCTTGTTCCGTGTGCGAACCTTTTAGTTATCAGCCTTGACACGTTTCTGCGTATGATCTTTTAATTGTGTGCTTTGGAAGACAACACGGGTTTCCGTGAAAACCTCGAGATGACCATCGGAATCGTGGGCCACTAAGCTTGCGAGGATACTGGTAGACGGCCAATTTGCGAATTAATAATTATCGTGCCAAATATCGAGGGTATTAAATCATGGAGAATTTCAATTGGTAGATGTGGAATTTTTGTATTTTCAGTTTGGGAGATTTTTGGATTTTCACTGATGTTAGGTCTGGGACTTTTGAATTTTTTAAGTTTCTAGTTTCTAGATTTTTAGATTCTCTAAACCCCCAATTTCTTAGATTCCAGATTCCCTAAACACCAATTCCCTGGATTTCCTATTACCTAGACCCCCAATTCCCTAGGCCCCGATTCCCTAGATTCCCAATTCCGTAGACCTCCAAATCTCTAGATTCCCGATTCCCTAGACCCCCAATTACCTAGATCCCCGATTCCCTAAACCCCCAATTACCTAGACCCCCGATTCCCTAGACCCCCAATTAGCTAGACCCCCGATTCCTGAGACCCCCAATTACCTAGACCCTCGATTCCCTAGACCCCCGATTCCCTAGACCATCGTAATAAATGAAAAAGAAAATTGCTTCGTCAACCTTCAAGACACAGTATCTTTGCATCGAAACATGCAGGAAAAACAAAAGCATTCTTCCGCATTTTGCCCATCTCCGTCGAGAACCATCAAGAATTTATCGAACATAAAATCCCGCGACCGCGAAATGATCGCGAAATTGTTGCGATATTTTCTTTGCAAACACAGCATCCAGTGGTAGTAAATCTCTGTTAGCCGATCGGGTATCAAAGGGGAAGGCAGTTTGTTGCTTAGCAAGGCTCGCGAGATGGTGGCTCGACGGATCGGTTCTAAATATTTGTGGAGCGAGCTTTCGCATTAACGGCGAGGAAACATACCGAGAAAACGGTTTCCAGTGGTTGCTTGTGGTCATTAGAAGAAGAAAGACCTTGTTCCGTGTGCGAACCTTTTAGTTATCAGCCTTGACACGTTTCTGCGTATGATCTTTTAATTGTGTGCTTTGGAAGACAACACGGGTTTCCGTGAAAACCTCGAGATGACCATCGGAATCGTGGGCCACTAAGCTTGCGAGGATACTGGTAGACGGCCAATTTGCGAATTAATAATTATCGTGCCAAATATCGAGGGTATTAAATCATGGAGAATTTCAATTGGTAGATGTGGAATTTTTGTATTTTCAGTTTGGGAGATTTTTGGATTTTCACTGATGTTAGGTCTGGGACTTTTGAATTTTTTAAGTTTCTAGTTTCTAGATTTTTAGATTCTCTAAACCCCCAATTTCTTAGATTCCAGATTCCCTAAACACCAATTCCCTGGATTTCCTATTACCTAGACCCCCAATTCCCTAGGCCCCGATTCCCTAGATTCCCAATTCCGTAGACCTCCAAATCTCTAGATTCCCGATTCCCTAGACCCCCAATTACCTAGATCCCCGATTCCCTAAACCCCCAATTACCTAGACCCCCGATTCCCTAGACCCCCAATTAGCTAGACCCCCGATTCCTGAGACCCCCAATTACCTAGACCCTCGATTCCCTAGACCCCCGATTCCCTAGACTCCCGATTCCCTAGATTCCCGATTCCCTAGACCCCCAATTACCTAGATCCCCGATTCCCTAAACCCCCAATTACCTAGACCCCCGATTCCCTAGACCCCCAATTAGCTAGACCCCCGATTCCTGAGACCCCCAATTACCTAGACCCTCGATTCCCTAGACCCCCGATTCCCTAGACTCCCGATTCCCTAGATTCCCGATTCCCTAGACCCCCAATTACCTAGATCCCCGATTCCCTAAACCCCCAATTACCTAGACCCCCGATTCCCTAGACCCCCAATTAGCTAGACCCCCGATTCCTGAGACCCCCAATTACCTAGACCCTCGATTCCCTAGACCCCCGATTCCCTAGACTCCCGATTCCCTAGATTCCCGATTCCCTAGACCCCCAATTACCTAGATCCCCGATTCCCTAAACCCCCAATTACCTAGACCCCCGATTCCCTAGACCCCCGATTCCCTAAACCCCCAATTAACTAGACCCCCAATTCCCTAGACCCCCGATTCCCTAAACCCCCAATTCCCTAGACCTCCGATTTCCTAGACCCCCGTCTCCCAAGATTTCCGATTCTTGAAATACCCAACTCCCCAGATTTCCAAATTCCCAAATTCATAATCTCCAGAAGAAAAGAAAATTATTTCACCTTAAGCATCCCGAGCGCCCCAATGCCCACGATTGTTTCCGGGCACCCAATACACCCTAAGAAGAAATAAATCTGGAAAGTTGGCAAAACGAAACGGCAACGCGGTTTCCGAGTCCACTAACTATGGAAATGTTCGTCGATCCGTATGAAATGTCTGTTCTCGTTATCGAAGAGGGGTCAGAAAGATCCCCAGTGAATTTTCCGTAGCATGTAAATTGGCCCGTGTCACGAATGCAGACAAACGTCGAGAACGAGCGTGGCAAACGTTACGTTTACGAGGCGAGATAAATTTCACGGACATGTTTTAGGAAGGTTACAAATCCGAGCCTGTTGACCTAACCGTACCGGGTGTTAGGGAAGTAATGGCTACGGTCTTCATTTTCCGCATCACGCTTCAATAGGCGTTTTATAATTCGGTTAATGACGAGTTTACCTGCGCACCGCCCTCTTTAGGTCATCGGCTGCAGTGTTCCTTGCGGTTCTTGCTTCTTTAGTGTGGCACCCCCTGCGGTTCCATGGCATTGCAGGCCTGAAATTGAAATCGTCTGGTCAAGGATCGTAGTTTCAGAAAATTTTAACGGTATTGTGTTTTAGTATTTTACTGGTGTTATTGTAGTAAACCCTTTTTTGGAAATTATTATTTTATACTGGGCAATTATTCAAGACTGCACTCGTTTCGTTCTTTGTTATTATTGGTTTATGATTTGTTCAGATATGTTTTTCTTGTCACACATTTAAATATTGAACCTATTGTACTGTTGGCATTCGAAGCCCAAGAGATTGCCAAGTAGAGGGACATCGCTCTTGTTTGTATTTCACGTTGCATCAGATACTGTTTCAATTCCATTTTGTCCTTTTCAACACAAGTTTCGTTTAAAAATTATCTGTGATCTTCGTATTTTTTTATTTTTCAGAAAATTCATTCCTGAAGTTATCTAATATTTTTGATCGTTGATAATAATTTTCCTTGCTCAATTTCATGTTTTATAAAAATATCCATATAATTTATACTCCTCTAGAAATTCATCCTTTACAAAGTATATATCTTTTCAAGTTCATGCAATCATTTCTTTGTAATTAATTTCAGGTCGAGTAACTTTAGCAGATGTTTACGGAACAATTAAAAGACTCGTTTCTATAAATCATGTTATATGCTCAACAGCATGTTTGTACGTGGTTTGACATTATCGCGGGAAATCGAGTGCACAGCCCGTTAGATGTTCGCTCTGTGCCAACGTACCGCCCCTAAAGCAACCCTTAACCCCAGTGTGTCATTGATGTTCGATAGATCCAGAAGGCCAGTGAAACGAAAAAGAAAAGCTCTGGGCGTGTTTGATTTATTGTCGCGATTCTATCGAGGTGCAAACAACGTATTGATGGATCGTAAACTCGTTTGTACTGATTCCGCAAGATTTGATTGATATTTCGGCCATTGACAGGACGTTTAACGATTTCAGATTAATATTTTAAATTTGTCAAAAAATTACTTGTTAAATTTGTGAAAAAAGAGGAACAGATTATTTCATTCTCGATAAACTTGATTACTTTGAGATTTGTTACTTTGGATTAGTGCCTTTACCTCCATTTTGAATTTACTGAACAATTCTTCTTCCTCTACAAGTAACCAATTAACCTTGTAATTAATATTATTATTAACTAGCCTAGCAAGTAGTTCCAGTAATTCATCTCAGTCTTTAAAAATGATAATAAAATACCTAAGACTTGCTCACAAAATGGAAGACTAACTTAAGTGCATCAAATATGGCTGACATAACTTTCATATATTAACACATGATCCTTCACATGTGTAACACATGTAACCTTCAACGTTGCACAGTAAAATAGATATCAAACAACTTTTCGACTTCGATTAATGAGCCCGAACAATTTAAAAGTTTAAAAAATTCCAAAAATCAGATAAAAGTGAATGGCTGTTTTACGAGGGGCAAGAATAGATTGGAGTTGATTGCTTCTTGTCGGAGCACCGTTTGTCTGTGTAAAGACGGTATAAATCCTTTCGAGCAATCAGCACGAGATCGTTTGGCAGTTTCGAAAATCGGAAGTACACACGAAGGAACGCGAAATGGGGGCGCGACAGTATTGTAAAAAATCAACGGCCATTAAGTGCTGCGCTATAGAAAATTCAATTTGTGGAGTGTCATAACGATGAGGAAATTTTTATTTTCAAAGGAAAACGTTCAGACAGATAATGTAATAGGGATATGTATAATTTTAAATTGCAAGAAAATAATTGTAGAAAATAATATGGAAATCGTATAAAAATAAAATAGAAATAATGTACAGATAATAAACAGATAATATATAAATACTATGCAAGTAATATACATGATACATACATATGATATACATGTAACATATGTATTATACTATAACATACTAGTAAAATATATATAATATAGAAATAATATAACACAGTATACAAGTAGTGTATGTATAAAATAAAATACAAATAATGTACAAATAATAAATAATAAATGATGAAGAAAATATTGCATAAACTCCCCAAGAAATAAAACAGACAGCATAGTATTCCTCCATGAAAAATAAATAAAGAATCGATCGAACTCAAGGAATTATAAATCCGATAGTGTCGTAAAGTTGATGAGAAAATAATTCTGCAGGGTATAGTTGGCTGTGTAGGAAGTCAAAGAGCGGTGACCGCAAGAAATTACAGAGAGCCAAAGCACGGATAAGCGACTAGAGATACCGCTCGCAGAATATAGAACATTGAAAAACATGGAAGTGCAAGGACTTGTACTGTTGCCCGTAGAACGAGCGGCGCTTCATCAAATCTGAAAAAAACGAATAGCTCGGTGGAAAATGCAAAATACCTGGAGTAAGGCGAAAAGGGTATCCAGGTTATTCTCCAATTTCGCAAACGACGCTGCAAACGAGAAAAGTGTAACGCAATATTCGACAATATCAAAAAATGGGGGTCGTAAAATCTAAATGCAAAATGAACGCCTCGTGATGGATGAACGTTCATACGTGAAAATTAAGAGGAAGGAGAATCAACATAAAACATAAACTTTCACCTTCAATTTCTTTAACCTGACCTCTGTATAAATATTATGATAAATGTTTTAAAATGAACGCATTCTTTTAAAATTGACGGTAAACCTTGACCAATTTCAAATCTCAATTTAGCAAATGTCCAAAGGGGTTCAAACAGTATTTTTCTGAAATTAACTCAATTTTCTTGAAATCACTAAATGCGTTAAAATTGCCAATCTTCGAATCGACAAATTAACAGCCGGATGAAGCTTCATTACCCAAAGTGCGCTGATTCGATCAATTAAAACCGGAACGCGATTCATCAGGCATCTCTCTATTCGCCAGCGGTAGTTAACAGAGAACGATCATTCCAGGCGCAGCAAAAATTTTTCCAAGTAAATCTGGCGCGACTATTGGTCTCAGCAGACGTCTTCCCTTATCTGGGATAAGGTGCCCGGGTGTCTGGCCAAGTAGTTTGTTCTGTACCCGAGCCAACTAGAGTCTCGGTATGAGTCCTTCTTTTCGTTGTTCGAAATTCTAGGGATTGTTTTGTAAACTTTGGGGCTGTTTTGTAAATTGTGGTTGTTGATGACACCATGGAGGTTTATGGTGAACTTCGATGCATTATATTTATTTATGCATAACAGTATAGCTTCGATACTCGTTTCGTTATAAATAATTTAAAATTTGTTGATAAGATGGCGCTTAGGAGCCACGCTAACTTTTTGAGGTTAGGTTAAACACTGCGCCACCCTCAGTCTTTCCACCATCTGTCTTTTAACCATCTGAAGACTTTGAAATTGTCTTTATATTAATTAACTGAATTATTTTATGCATAACAGTATAGCTTTGATACTCGTTTCGTTATAAATAATTTAAAATTTGTTGATAAGATGGCGCTTAGGAGCCACGCTAACTTTTTGAGGTTAGGTTAAACACTGCGCCACCCTCAGTCTTTCCACCATCTGTCTTTTAACCATCTGAGGACTTTGAAATTGTCTGTATATTAATTAACTGAAATTTTCTACATTCTTACACCTAAAAAAATTCGACGTAATTTATATTTTTATTTTCTCTAAAATTGTTTTAAAAATAAAAACCCTACTCTGTCTCTGAACGACAACCCTCAAGTGCCTCAAACTCAGAAGAAATTGAAATAAGTGAAACAAGGTTTGTCAGATTTTTTTCCCAGAAAGCAGAATTGTTTATTCGAATGTGACGATATAATACGTCTTTCTTTGCCTTTATTCTTAAATTAAGAACGACATTGACATTATACTCACGGACAATTGAAATTCCAGGTATAAAACCCGCTTATTCAAACAGATTTCTGGAATCCACTTTTTCAGGTGACAGCTGATTTCTGTGAGGTGACATTTGCATCGCGATACGGGGAGCTTCATTTTTTTTCGTCGGGGATGGAAAGGGTACAGTGTCAAGCTTGAAACTTTCCCGTTCGTGAAATTAAATTTGGAAAGTTTGCGAAGTTCTACTTTTTTCGAGATGAAGCGCAAATTGGATGTTGGAAAAGGTAGGATCTGGCAAAAAATGGGGATATTGATGTAGGATGACATTGTTTGTAAAATAAGTTGGTAGACGTTTAAACAATGTGAGTACCCTTTTTTTTCCTTTAAAAAATTTTCTTGAAAGTGAAATACACAGACGATTAGAACTAATTTGTTTTAATATTGATGTTCGATGACATTGTTTGTAAAATAAGTTGGTAGACGTTTAAACAATATGAGCACCCTTTTCTTTCCTTTTAAGAATTTTCTTTAAAGTGCAAGACACGTTTGATTAAAAATAATTTGTTTTATTATTGATGTCCGATGACATTGTTTGTAAAATAAATTGGTAAACGTCTAAACAATACGAGAATCCTTCTTCCTTTTTTCAAAAAATTTTCTTGAAAGTGGAAGACACGAGTAGGATTAATTTGTTTTAATAGCAACGTAATCTTGTAAACGAAAAGGATTAGTAAGCACTGAACTTAATTGAGATTCTTATCAATGCCTTGTAAAACTTAAATCGGATTACCAACAAAACGATCTAATTGTCATACCATTAAAGAGAGAGTCAACCCTCGTTACGTGAATAATTAAAACCTCTACCGAAAGATATCACCCTAATAAATTACTTCGAAACTGCAACAAACAATTTGACATTCAACGATCGAGTTAAAAAATCATGGCCGATATTGAAGCATGGTTTATCTCACAAACGAGAGTGGCAGCAATGCGAAGAGGGATTAAATAAAGCAATCAACGTTAAATTACCGAATATGTGGATACATTCGGCTGATAAGCATACCTTTATAATGTTAAATACACTGTACACAAGAGAAATGTATACATGAGTGAAACTATATATGAAACTATATGTACATGAAAACGCATAAATGTCTTATAAAATTATTGTTGACAGATTGAAAAATTTTTAACAACATTTGAAAGTTCTACATAAAAGAGAATTTAATAGCATGGGTGTATATTTAACAGTAGAGCTTCATAATAT